GGTGTTCAGATGTTCAGATGCTGCTGCCCTGGGCTCAGTGTGGAGCTGCTGAAGGACAGTGCTGTGAGCAGCTCCCTGTCAGCAGCTGTGCCGGCACCGCAGCCCCGCGGCTCCACCGAGCCGAACCTTGTCACGGTCCCGTGCAATAGTCTAAAAAACTCTTCTGAGGGACTGCCACGTGTTTCTTTCTGCTTTCCCCAGTCCTTCAGCATTTTGACTTACCTATGCTAGTTCAGCAGGCTGGAGAGGTTTTTTCTTGCTCCAACTCAGAAAAAGGCTGAGGCCTTCTGCTGTTATTCATGAGCCAATTCCAAAGGCAGAAACCCAATTTCAAAACCAGGCTGCTTAAAAAGTAACTAGTGCAGACATATCAGTCTCCTTTACAAGTTTAATGTAGATAACCAAGATTTGTCTAATAATTTACTGCAAATATAAACAAAGAAAATGGGAAACTTGAATGTGGAATAGAAGAGATGGGAAAAATATTCACTGAAACATGGTCAAAAGTTAAAAGGCCCCTGTATAGAACTAGGAAATGAAGAGTATTTCTTGGACTGTAGAAGAAATATTCTACTATTTCAGCCAAACCCAGATGAACAATTTTATCATCCCACAATTCAAGAAGATGACTTGAGCAGAAGCACATCAAAACATTGATAGAAACACCTCAGTGAGAAAGAGGCTCTTCACTAATGCAATAATACAGCACTTGGAAACTGAAAATAAGCAAACTTGGATTGGAAATACACATGATTTTTTCCAATAATGAACTAATAAACCATTGGGACAACTCATTAGTGGATTTGTTGACTTTTCCTCAAGAACAGCTGTGCTTTCATTTGGCCAGTGTGTTTGTCCTGATGCAAAAGAGTTGGTGGATAAGAGATTCAAATACTGCCAAGAACCACTTTGGCAGTAAAAGCAGTGAATTCATCGGATCTTCTCAGAACACATCTGAGTGTTTTAAGACCTTCTCAGCCATCTCAACAAGAGCAAATCCCTTTTAGGACAAGCTCCATGTTTGCCTGTAAGGAAACACCATCCTCACCTTTCCCAACCCTCTGCAACATGCTCTGCCCACCTTTACACCTCTCAGCAGCAAAGTTTCATTGAGAGACAAAACCAGAGCAGGAATTAGTCAAGGCTCTGGAATGATGAATCCTTTATCAGCAAGCAGCTGCAGAGTAGCACTGTCAGTGCTACACACAGGAGCAGGGATGAGGAGTAGAGGCTGGTAAGAGGCAGCCCCTGGGCTCCCAGCCTACGGCACCTGGGCTCTCCGGCGTCTCGTGGCACCTCTGGGACTCGGATTGCTGAAGACTTGGAACAAAAGACTGAGCAGCCCCACATGTTTACCATTGACTCTTCATTCAGGTATCCAGGAGGACTCCTGGTGACAGCATTCTTTAACTCCCTGGGAAACACTTCTGGGATGTGAAGGAGCTTGTATGCAGTTCATATGCTGTCCCCATGGCCTGCAAGGAGAGAGGGGTTCCAGTGGTTCTGCTCCTTTTGGCTACATAAATTAAGAGTATGCTGGATGCCCTCCAGCTTCCTTAGTAACTGCTGCAATTGTATTTCAGGGTATTTAGTGATCACGAATGGAGAGGAAATCCCAAGTGGGTATATGGTGACCCAGGAGACACTGCCTGTTCTCACACAAGCCCAGCAGCACTGCAAGCCCTTTCGCTTCCCCCACCCGCCCCGAGCCAGAGTCTTTGCTGAGATGCTCAATAAAGGTATTAAATCCCACTCACAACCTGGCTGCTCCTGCACAATGATCCTTGGCTGCTCCATGTGCTGCTGACACAAGGGACAGGGCACATATGGCACAGGAGCAGCACTCCAGCCAATATTCTCATTTCCATTCCCTTCCATTGAGATGTTAACAGCAAAAATGGAGGTTTAACAAAAATCACAGCTACTGATATCTAGCAGAAATATTTCACTTTTTTTTTGCTTGTTACATCCTTCTAGTCTGCCAGATGAGGCAAAATGCTGTTTCTGAGAATAAATGTGCCATGTATTTTGCTAAAAGAGGAAAACACAATGAAATCCATGAGCAATTCCATAAAAACAATAAGGCAGCTCTCACATAGTTCCAGATTACTGGGTTGACAATTGCAAACAGGAAATTTAAAAATATCTTTCTTTCTGCAATTCTGGTTTATTTTTTCCTGTCAAAATACACTACTGCTTAACTTTCTGCTTGTCTCGACTAATGGATGAAGCCCTAAAAATTGCTGAATATCCCAGAAGAAGCCTACCCTGGTTAGCTGGGAAGCTAAGCACAATTACACCCAGGGAAACTCAGTGTCCTCACTCCTGCTCTGCCTGTAAGCACAGAACTAAGCCCTGGCCTCACCTGGAGAAGCAGCACCTGCCATTTTTTGGGGATGTGCCTGAGAGGAAAAGAAGGAGCTCCTCCATGGGCTGCTGGCTGGGAGCCCTGCATGTGTTTGTCAGCCTCTTCCAACAGCTCTTCCAAAGGCCCAGGAGAGTGCAACAAGAAGAGATCTGCACTCTCCAAGACCAGGAGAGAATATTCATCCCTGGCTGCCCCAGGGCTGGAGAGCATCAAGCACCAGAAGGAAGCAGGAGATCACGGAATCATTGAACAGTTTGGGCTGGAAAAGACCCTTAAAATCATCAGCCATCCCCCCAGCACTGCCAAGTGCACCACTAACCCACGTCCCCAACCTGCACCTCTCTTAAATCCATCCAGGGATGGTGACTCCATCACTGCCCTGGGCAGTCTGTGCCCGGGATGACAACCCTTTTGATGAAGAAATCTTCCCCAATATCCAATCTAAACTGCCCCTGGCACAGCTTGAAGCCATTTGCCTCAAGAGGCTGCAGCCTGATCACACCACACTACTGGAGACCACGGCCCCCAGGACACCCCTAGCCCTTCTGAGGAGGGGGGGAGATGCTCAGCCATCACAGGGGGTGGGGAATCAACATCCCAGGAAAAATCTGCATGAGAGACCTGGTAAGATTGGCCAAACATGTTTTCATTGCCATCATATTGTATACCAGAGGTATTTGGATGCAATAGCCAGGTAACATCCCAAAAGAGCCATGCATAAAGTCATTAAATGGGTTGGGAACAGGCTCTTTTTTATTTTTCCAGATAAAACCCTGGAAAGGAATTACTATTGGTATCAGCCAGCCAGTGTAAGATTTGCTAATGTACACCCACATTACAGTGTTATCAGTGACTGATAAGATGCATGACATGGTCACTATGAAAACCCCACGTGATTCCAAAACACCAGCTCACCTGTAGCACAAAAAAGCCTCCAGCACTGTTACAGAGCACCTTTATAAGACACTTCTAAGGCCACAAACTGTGTTTTAATGAAATATTTTGGGAACTGTAGACCTACAGGCTGCCACACAAGAGAGGGCTGGCCCCATACAGGAGAGGACTATCTGGGCAAAGAGAACACACTCACTTTTTGGTGTAGATAGACCACAGTGCTGCTACAAAATTTATATTGGTAAGGAAGAGGAAAATATGTTAAGGTAATAATAAAGATGGTGGCCTCTGAGTTTTGGAAAGACTTATAGTGATTGTATAACACTTTTTCTCTTCATGAGTATCTCCCCCATACGTGGTTACATTACTTTGATAATTTTTGTCAAGACATCTTTACCCATCTCCTTTATTATGGAGCTCTTCAGCACGAAGGAAAAGGCTCCCCTTTGCTTGCAGAACTCATTTCTTTGTTGTGCCATAGCTGGTAAGGCTGCCATGCCTCTAGTGCTGAACTCAACAGGTACCCAGGGGCCCACAGGGCTACTCACGAAACAGTGCAAATAAAGGCTTGGTACTCATTAAACTGCAATATTTTTCTCTTTTTTTTAATTAAACATGAATTGTGTTTAATGTTTCTAACATTTTATTCTTTCAGAGGTAAAATCTGGGTAACACCTTCCAGAATTAGAAGAATCTTTTTATACAAAAATCTTCTGTGATCTATATTGGCTCTCAAGTACCAGCAGGCCTGACAATGTTCATGTAGGCCTTTCCACCCTACTCTTGCTATTTCCACACAATACACAATACTCTTGGTATTACTTAGACTTGGATTTCCTAAAGCATTCTAATATAGGCATTAGCATGTCTCATTCATGATACCTGTTGTGGGCAGGCTCCCAGAAAAACTGAACCTGTCATGCCAACTAACTCTTCAGGAAAATTTGAAATAACCTGAGATTTTTAGTTATTTATTTTTAGTTATTAAAACTTAACACCTTCGTCCTATCTGGACTCAGCATATGAAAGGAAATCATTCTGGGCACAGCACAATTAACCTCAGGGATTCCCTCTGCTGTGATAAAACCAAAGCAAATAGCACTCTAGTTTTAGGGTTATCCTCATCTTCAGATTTTACCCAAACTTCCAAATTTGCCCATAGCCAGTGATAAGTTTGGGTAAAAGAGTGGAACTAGATGCTGCCGTGTAAAACCAGACCTGTTTTTGAAAAATGCTGAATGTTCCATTATGAGCATAAAATCTGCCCAAACACAGGGTTTAGCTTTGCAGTGTAACAGAGAAGCGCTTTTCTTAACCCAGCCGTGTTCTCTCTGTGTACCAGGGCATCCTGAGTAACCCCCACCATCACTTTAGGCTGTTCTGATAACTGCACCAGCTGCTTTTAGGTAACTAAACCTTTTACTAAGTTATTGACCACTGCTAGGCCTGGAGCAAGAAGGTTGGAAGTTAAAATATACACGAGGTAATAAAATCAATACTTGTTATTTCATTTAGCAAGCATGATCCCACCCTACAGCACCAACTGTGGGTTACAAGAACAGGTAACAAAATACTGCAGAGAAAATGAATAATTTACCTCTCCTCACCTACAGATGTAACAAGTAACCCCGTACAGATTTCTAGTTGAACAAACTCGTACAAAAAGGCTTGTCCTGGATACGAGGTTCTGTAGTGTTTCCATTGCAGATGAGACACTTGGAGAGCTGCCATGGTGTACCATCTTTTCCAGCCCCCAGCAACTTGCCAGCAAGCCCATCCCTGCTCCCAGGAAGGGGGAATGGAAGGTGTCCCTGAGGGGCAGCAGGGTGTCACTGGCCAGCAGCATCACCTGCAAGCTGAGGAGAAGGCAGAGCTCCTCACAGCACACAGCTGAACCCCCTTGTCCCACATTCCTGTGCCCGAGCAGCACTTGGCTGGGCAGGAAGCCTGGCTCACAGCCTGTGGCACAGCTGGCACCAATCCTTCTGTCCAGCCAGGCCTGCTCTTGAGGCAGCAGAGTGACCTGTGGCACCTGCTGAGGCTCAGCTTCTTCACACATCACAAGACCACTTCCTCTTCCTCCTCCTTTCCTGGTCTTCTTCCAAGAGCCCCCTCCCATGGCAACGGCGCCCGCTGTCCCTGCTGCCTGCAGACCTGGCAGCAGCCACAACCACACCAGGGCTCCTCCTTGGGATGGGACCCGAGGGGAGAGGAGCCAGCACGGGCAATGGAGGGGCCAGGAAACCACGAACAGCAGGGTGGCTGCTCAGGGCAGGGTACCGAGGTGTGTGGGACTGCAGCAGCCCAAAGAACGCAGGGCCCGCGCATAAAGAGCAGACAAACAGCCCCATGGCCACTCTGGCATTATTGTCCTTTCCTCTGCAATCATCTCCATCCTTCCCAGACTGCTGGAAGCTGCTTGTCTGGAGCAGCTCAGGCAAAGGGAGAGAACAGGAGTGATCACACCTCAGTGTCACAAGGAGTCACAGGGCTCTGAACACACCACAGCTCCATGGCTCAGCACACTTCAGCAGCATCCCAGTGCACTTGTCCCACGAGTGGAGAGGGCTCCATTGCCCTGTGTCCAACTTATAAACTACATTACATAAGTTTAACACACTTCAGATACTTTGAAAATATCAATTTGCTGTCAGAACTGCTGAAGTTGCCACAGAGATGCTGCCCAGCCTTAGATGAAAGGGAGACCATGACTGCTGCAGGGATAAACCCATGAAAAATATTTCTTTTAAATATTTGGGAACCCCTGTCAGAAGGGAAACATGAAAACAGCTGATCTGCCTCTACAAAACCAAACCAGAAATTACTTTTTTTCCTGAATTGCACACTGTACATCACATTAAAAAGAAGCAGAAGTATGATTAAAGCACTGGGTAAGCCTCCTGAGCACAGCGCAGCTGGGCACACCGGCTCATGTTTGGTTGCTGCACCTATGTAACATTGTATTTTTGATTGCAGTACTAAATAACATTGAATATTTTTGTTGCAGTTCCGTACAAACACTAACATCAGTGCTTTGAGCGCCCAGGACAGACAGGACTTCATACACTTAAATCCTAATTTTTTAAATTTTTTAATTTTTGCTATTTATTTGCTCGTATATTACCAAGAAATGCAAACAGTGCCATAGGAGCTGATTGCTCCTAATACTCCATGAACTTCTCTGATAAAATTAGTTCAGGTTTTGACACTGTGCAAAGTGAACTCCTCAGTTTTCTTTCTCTAAAATCGACCTCTGGACACTACCACAAGCTACGGAAAAAGAGTACAAACGCCCCACCCCCAGCAGCACTACAAATCAATTCTGCCCCTTATGCCACAAAATTAAACACCTTTCCTCGTGCTGTTGACCTTGAGCTGCCAACAACACGATCATCTGCTCCATCAGCCACAAGCAACCTCTCTTCGTCAGCTGCCAGGGACATTCTCCATCCTTTTGCTGTTTGCTCTTCAGGAATCCACTCCGTCATTACTTTGCCTGAAAATCTTAATTTTTTCATGCTCTTAAACTTTCTAAGTTTCAAGAACACATGCTTGAGGCTTCTCTCCAGCCTCACCTCACCATCTGTGCCCGAGTGCCCACTGGCACGGGCCAGCGCGAGTTCTGCGAGCCTCCCGTCCCGGACCCCCTCTGCTAGGGCTGGCTCTTTCTGCATTTCCCCTCCTGTTCCTGCACAGCTTCTAAAATAAACGGCAGGACATCATTCCTAATGCCACGGCAAAGCGTCCTGAACAGTTTATTCCGCGCGCGGAGGATCCGCGGATGCCCCAGGGCCCGCTCGGGCAGCCGTGAGCCGCACCAGGCAGAGCCTCTCGCCTGCCCCGCCAGCTCTTTGGAGACGCTGCTGGTTCCGATCAAAGAGCGACAGCCTAACCTGACCGGACCCCTGTCGTAAAAAGCGCTCATCCAGGTGATTTACTTGATTTTAATTGCACTTTTCACACTTCAGTCCTGGGGAATTGCTGCGATGCCGCTGATACTCCATCCTCCTCCGTCACATCCGAAGGGAGCGAGGGGTCCTGTCGGGGGCTGTCCCCGCGTGTTTCCCCCTTCGCACGGTGTCCCCCCTTCCCCGGCACGGCCGCCCGGGCGTGGGGCGGCTGCTGAGGCTCTCCGTCCCCAGTCACCGCCCCGGCCCCCATCACACCAGGCGCCACCGAAGTTCT